TCCTGTAGTGACCGAGAACAAGGAGGAAATCATTGTGACACTGGAGGATATTCTCCATCTTTTCCTGCTCTACCAGCAGCGTAACTTCCGTATATGCAGATGATGCAGTCACACAGGGGCCCGCAGCAGTGCTCGGTCCTCTCCTGTTCATCCTGTACATTCTCCCCCTTGGTAATCTTATACGCTGCCATGGTCTCCGCTTCCACTGTTATGCTGATGACGTCCAGCTCTACATCTCCACTAAATCCATAACCACCACAACCCACTCCACTCTGACACACTGCCTCACTGAAATCAAATCATGGAGGCATGCCAACGTCCTGAAAATTCAACACAATAATCATTGGTCCCAAATCCTTCATCTTAAAACACAAACAACTTCTGCTTCACCACAGCACCACTCTGTTTCCCTCCAACAGCAACCTCTCCTTTGAACACCACGTCAACCAAAATCACCAGAACTCTCTTCTTCCACCTATAAAACATTACACACCTCCTCCTCTCACTCTCCTCTTCTGCTGCTGAGACCCTAATCCACGCTTTCAGAACTCTACAGCTTGCCTGCTCATCAACACCCGCTCCTGTTACCACATCACCCCTGTCTTACAGAACCTCCACTGGCTCCCTGTCCAACATCTTTTCCAATTTAAAGTCCTTCTCCTCACTGGCAAAGCCCTCCACAACCAGGCCCCCTCCTACCTTGCAGACCTGCTCCATCGCCACACTCCTTCCCGAAGCCTCCGACCAAGCATCGTACCTGAGGCGACAGAGCATTCTCCATAGCTGCCCCCTCCCTCTGGAACTGGAAAAACATCACTGTACCGATCCGTCCACTTTAAAACCATTGATAGAAACCCACCTCTTCAGAACTGCTTTTAATGTTTGATTATTGAGTGTTGTAGATATATATCTATATTTTTTTAGCGTGTTGTATCTATTACATTTTTTAACTTATGTGAAGTGTCTTTTATTTCAGAGAAAAGTGCTCATTAAATAAAATGTATTTATTATTATAATTATTTTGGTGTCGATAACATGAAACATTTTTACATACAAACACTAACTTATCTCAGACCCCTACAGCATTGGTGCCCACACTTTTTCAGCTTGCGAGCTACATTTAACATGAAAGTCAAAATGATCTACGTACCATTACAAATTCTAAACATATATTTATTTATATATATACTGAGCATACTTCATATATACAATATATGTTAGTGTACCTTGCATAAGTGCATGAACGCATCAAGCGGACTTTCAAATCAGTCATGGTGCAACAGTATTTGGAGTTAATAATCTTCATGTGGGAAAAGGCTGACTCACATAAATAAGTGGAGTTGAATAATGCAGTCAAGGAGGTAGCACATTTCCTCTTGTTTGGGTACTTTTCCTCTGTGAGTCAGTTCCAGGACTGTCCATGAGCCCTGAATTTGGTGGTGACCCATGTGTAAGAAAAGATGAGATCTCAGACTGGCTATCCTTTACGTCAGTCAAGTTGCACATGCCATAGTAAGGATGGATGATAGGCCAACATTTATTTTATTTAATGCATTCAATAAAATTTGCCCTATCATCCATATAATCAGTCTACACATTTGTGTTTGTCTAAAATAATATTATAATAGTTTTACCAAACAGTTCCCACTCAAGGTCCACTTACTGGTATTTTCTTGAGTTTTCAGCCACATCACACAGTCTTCATGGATGTATGAAGTTTGTTCAGATAATTTCAGCAACCTCAGACTGTAACAGAACAGTTTACCTGCAGCCTTCATTGTATTTATGGAACAGGAAAGTTTGATCTTCCTTACTGGAGCAGAAGGTCTGTTTGAGCAGCAAATAGTAGCACAAACAATGAAAATATTAGAAATAACAGACAACACGACTGCAGAATCCAAAGATTCAGATATGGTTGTTGTGTTTTATGGCAGCCCTCCTCTCTCCTTTTAGTTTGACTGACATCTGAGATGAACGCCAGCAACAGTAACAAACAAGAAATACTCAGTACCAGGTAGAGTACAACACTAAATCATTGTCCGTAAGCAGCTTGGATGTACTATCTCCTTTAGTTTCTATCTTGTACTGAAAGAAAGGTTAGTGCGCCCCTGCTGATAATAAATGTTCAATATTAGTTGTTCACCTGCATCTTCCTCTTCATGCTCCTATAATGTGTGCTGCTCTCACGTCTCCAGGTTAGAACAGTCTAAAGAACATCTGTGTGAGACGCTTCGAGAAGCAATCACATGTATTCACTCTCCCTGTTTTATCAGTCTCATCAGTATGTTGTGAGGTAAAATTAAGTTCAGTGTAATCTGTTTTAATACTGTTAGGGGTTCTTCATTTCACCTTTATTCTTGTGAATATTAATTTTCTGTCTTTAAAAAGTCAATTATTGGCTTAATATGTGCACAATTAACCAATAATAAAAAACTAAAATGTTAACTGGAAGCAATTTTATAAGAATTTTTGAGCTTGAGCGAGTACATCGACTGAAACAAGTAATCCGTACAGAATAAATGAAATTTTTTATTGTCAACTCATACTAATAAATTATACAAAGTTTATTGAAACTAGAACTAAATTATAACATTGTTCTGTAAAGTACAGATATGAACACAGATCAATTTAAGCAGATACAGATTGGTTCAGTCTAAACCAAAATGAAAAATCAGATCTATACAAGAAAAATGAGTTCCTAAACAAACATTATATTAAATATACAATAGAATATAGAGTTGAATATTAAGTGATTTAACATTAACCATTGTAGAAAATATAGAAAATAATGACAAATAACTAGATAAC